AAGAAATAACCCTACCACGAGCTATCTCACAAAAGCGCGTTCCCCGAGGGTTCACGCTTGCTTTAAGGAAGGAACACAAAAAGACACGTTAAAGCCCTTTCTGCCAGCACAACCGAAACAAACAAAACCACCACACACAAAAGTTGCTCATTTGGAGAAATTTCAGACAATTGCCATTTGAAGAAACAGAGCAGACAGCGGGAGAAGAGAGCCAGGCTACAAAGGATGCACCATTGTCAAAAGTGATGTGGCAGCGCAGTTACTAGGAGACCAGGACGGGCCATTATTCGGGCTTGGGAGAAGAGGATTCCTGCTAGCAGAGTCACAACCCGCTCTCAGAAAAGAAGGATTTCGCTGAGCTGGAGGGCAAACAATACCAGGGGAAAAAAAAAAAATCCCCACACCCTAATTCCGCCTGCCCTTAACCCCCCCTGCTCGCCCTCTGCCACAATGAGATGCAAGGCAGAGCCTTTGCACCACCTCATTTGGTAAAATTTCCCTCGTTAGAGACTCATCCAAGAGGTACTTGAACGCGTTCGCTTAGAGCTTATGATTATTTGCTTTGTGGGGTGTTGCTCGAGCCGCGCTGCGCGGCGGAGGTTGGCCACGGAGTCGCTTCTGCTCCTCGAGCGGAGGAGTTAAATCCCTGCGACTGCCTCTGCTGCAATTTTACACAAGGAACCGAGGTTTAATTTCTTTCCCCATTAGTAGATGGGCATAAAATACATCTGGGGGGGTGGGGTGGGGAGCTAAAATTTATCCAAATGAAGTTCCGTGAGTTGCAAACTTCATTACAAACGAAGCAGCGTGTAATGACTGTGGAAAGCAGACTTCAAAAATCCTCCGTGACACCAGGGTTCAGCAAAGTGCCACAGAAGCGTTCACAGGCGTTTTTGCAATTAGAGCCTATCTCCATTTATAAAATGCAGCCCCTTATCATCTGACAACTCAGTGGACCGCTGATCTCTTTGTCTCCAAAGCAGGAAAAGCCCTGATGGGAACTACTTACCGCTGTCATCCACAACTACACAGCCAATGTTCTCCATCTCCAGTAATTAGCTCTCTTTAGTTTGTTAATACTTTTTCCTCTTCCCCACAAAATCCTCCTAATTTAAATTTCATGAGTCACCCAGCCGAGCTAACCTGTGTTTCTGCACATTTAGGAACTGGCTTCCCAGAACAGCCTGCTCCACCCTCCCACCAAAGTCAATCAGCAGCCCCTGGCCATTAATTGAACTCATTAGAGCTGCTGGGGACCAGTCCATCAGGCTCCCCAGCCACTGGGATTAGATGAGTCAGGAAAAAAAAAAAAAAAAAATCAGGAGCCAGCGGCCTTGCTGCAGGAACACAACCACCTCCCCATCTCCCCAGCCCCAACACCACCCTCCATCCCAGGGTGGTGGCTCCCATCGCTTCTGCCTCCTCCGGTTTTAAGGCCCGAAGTGATGAGACGTCTGGTTTAGTGGTGGACTTGGCAGCATTAGGTTGACAGTTGGACTTGATGATCTCAAAGGTCTTTTCCAACCTAAATGACTCTATGATTCCTTAAAATGCTGCTTAATATTTGAGCAATTCCCCCATTAAGATCATTTTCTCAGCTCTGCACAGTCCAAGTGCTCCTTTTGCCCTGTATCGTAAAAAAAAAATATAAAAATTAGGACTAATCAACCTCAAATAAACCTAAATCCATCTCTCTGGAGGTTACTGGGACCTCTTCTCCCTCTGTAATCTTCCAGTCAATCAGACTTTGTCTTTCTGCTGTTTCCTATTTACCATACCCAAAAAACCCAGCAGTGGCCTCAGATTCAAATGAGACTCTCAGGGCCAGCTATCACCTCCAAAATGTGCTAATGCATTACTCCAGGATTTTGCAGAGGACAAAGCTCACAGGAAGGTACGATTTAATGCAAGGACGGCACAATCGGCTCTTTCTCACTGCTACAACAGCTTCAAGGCATCAATTTGCCTCAACTCGGGGTCAGTCAGGTTTTTGCCAAACATAAACATTTTTAGCAGGTTCCAGCCAGACACCAAGATCTCAAACAAGAAGGAAGTTTGTTCGTGAAAAGCCTCCGGGCAAACTAACGAGCGACAAAAGGTTATTGTCACAAGAGCCCTACTTGACACGAGAACCTCTTTAAAGGCATCAGCGTTGCGGAGGTGCCAACCTCTGAGGTTTTCACCAGAATTTGGCATATTTGGAGGAGATCCCAGAGCGGTGGCTGTCAGAGTCACTTGGTTAGTCGAGAACTGCAGCTTCCAGGAAAACAAGCCATCGGCTTAAACAGACAAAAACCCAAGGAAGTGGGATTTCAGGAGGCTTAGATGTCAAAACACAAATATAAACCTCATTTGTGCTGCATTTCACGGTTTCTACCTCTAGCTCGCTTTTATGGCCCATCTCAGGTTTTCTTTTATGACATTTTCAGGCTGGCAATACTCAAGTTTCTGCAGCTGGGTGAGCGTGTAACACGCTGCTTGGAGGGCATGGGGAGCTCAAAGCATTTACATTTTTGTTGCTCCTCTTTCTTCCGTTCCCCCCAATCTCCAGCACAGCTCCCTGGGTCGCCGGTGACGTCGCAGCTCCCGTAACATCCCTTGCCAGGACAAGCCTGGTCCTTCTGTTCCTAAACCAGGTTTGAGCCTCGCGGAGAGAATCCTGACCTAAGTGCTTCCAGAACACAAATAAACACGTTTTATCGTTTCATGCCCAAATTACCGAATGGCTAATAGAGCCTTCGCTGAGCTTGAGTAGCTCAGACCGGGTAGGGCCGCTGCATGTGTGCAATCTTTGCGGCGATTATTAGACTTTAATGAGGTCTAGTGAGTCAGCCAAGCCTTTATGCTTGTAATCCCCCATTTCAACAGCCATAGGTAGCTCCTGGAGGCATTAACGTTGCTGGTTCTGCTCTTCTGGGTGCATAAAAGCACCTTTGGGTGCAATAGTGTAGTTATGGCCAGTGCCAGGCCAGCACCACGCTGAAAACAGAGCGACGGCGCTTGCCCGAGATCTCAGGACGGGTCACTCAGCAGAGGCGGGGCAGCGCGGGTGCCCGGGGTCCTGCTCCAGCCCACAGCCCCCCACCTTCCCCAGGGAGCTGATGCACCTTCAAGTCCTCTTGAAGTCTCTTCACCGCCGCTCTGTGTGCTAAGGGAAGAGTTTCTCCTCTTCGCAGACCGTGTTTTGCAGTGCCAACGCAAGCTGCGCTAAGGACAGACGTCTCCTTCTCCAAAGGGTTCGAGAATCTTAATTCCTGGGC